AAATTCAAATTATTTAAAAAAAAAAAGGAAATTTATCTTTTGCTATTAAAGACTTTATCCACATATTCGATAAATATAATGTAGAAACTATTAATTTAATTTTTTTAAAAAAAATCTTTATTTCCCAGATTTTTGTATAAAAAAGTAGAATAGGATTTTTTTTATTTTTTATTTTTTTAATAGAGATCAATAGATAAAGTTTTTTAAAAATGCATGATACAGGCACATAAATAAATGCATTATATCAAGTTACCAACTAATGAAATAAAAGATTCACATTTTATTTTAGAATAAAAAAAATCAATCGCCACATGGAAAATTAACGAATAAGATTTGAGATGATTTTATATGCTAGGTAAAACCACTATGAATTAATATTTTAATAAAAAAAATCTCTCAGCTCTAAAAATCCTCTATTCTCTCTCCTCAAAAACAGCCCCTGAAACCTGGAACTCACGAGAGTTCCGGCATCGTGGTCTGTTCTCCTTCCTTTTTTTTCTAGTTTTTTAAAGCTCTTGTTCGTGTGGTGAAGTTGAAGCGAAAACAAGCTCCACGAAGAGCTTTGACCTCCGTTTGGTGCTACCCTCTTCTCACCAGAAGTTTAGATTGTTTATGTTGGTTTTCCGCTAGTTAAGGAGACGAGGAAGCCTTGTTCCACCTGGAATTATTTCGCATAGAAGAAGGATCTTGAATTGGTTACAGATCCGTGTGTTCAGGGGACAAAATTGACGATTTAAGGGTCTTGGGCTAACTCTAACGCCATCGTCTGGGGATTGCAGAAAAAAAGGGAATCGCGACGGTAATTGGTGAAGTTAGGGTTAGGGTTTCATAGATTTAGGACCAATTTTGAATTTCTCTATTTTGGTTTCTTCTTTGATTTTTGGTGCTCTGTTTTTGGCTCAATAAGTCTTCATTCTCTTTAGTTCTTCTTTTTTGAAGTTAGTATGTTTGTTTTTAGTTTAAGTTTCTACTCCTTGGTTGGATGTCTTCCCTTTTGGTTTTGTTGGATTGTTTTTCTCCTTGTTATGTGTCCCTATTTGGTTTCCAATTAGAAGGCCATGGTGGGATTTTCCAATCTTGAAGAGGTTAGGGGAAGTAGTTTTGGGTTAGACTTTAGGTTTTGGGTGTTTGGAGGAATGTATGTCTTGCCCCTTGCCTTTGTTTCATGTCTTGGACTTAAAAAAGTGGGTCTCCTTATTGTAGTCAGTTTTGGCTTACACTTTCATGGCAGTGGGTTTGCCTTAAATACAAAGTTGGATGAAATTCATTTGTAAATGGCTCTTTATCTGTTAGGTTTCTGAGTGTTCGACCGGAAGGTTTGGTGTTTAGCTTCGTCGTTAGTTGGCTCTTATTTTTATAATTGGACTTCTTTAAGTTTTTTCAAGTCTGTTATGGTTTTTGTACTCATTACATTCAAATTTTCAAGTATGTACGCTGCTCTAATATTATTGTGGGTTCATAAGTATCCTACGAATCATGTATTTCTTTCCTTTAAAAGAGAGAAATCAAGTTACTGGTTACCGTGATATTACCTTCCTTTTGTTTCTTCCTTTGGTTTTGTTTTTCAAGCTCCACATGCACAAGTTACAAAGAGTTTCTAGTCAATTACACAAGCTTCTCCTTTTGTGGAAAAAGGACACCGGGAATAGCATGTAATGTAGGCTTCTACTCGCTAGAATCAAGGCGGTACACAGTGGTTCCAACACTCAGGGGATAACTATGAAAGCAGTTTCTTTTAAGTTGTCTTGTTTTCGAGCGTTCAAAAGAACAAGTATTGCTCGTGGCTTTTGTTGTAAAGGTCTTAATAGGCCTAGTTTTTATTGTTTTATCGTGAACTATTTCAATATATGCAAATTAATCCTTTGTCAAAAAAAAATGTGAATTGTAAAAAAAGTTACATTTTATTTTAGAATAAAAAGAAAAATTAACAAATGATGTTTGAGAGTTTAATTTTATGTGGCATGTATGTTATAAAAATATAGAAAAATAAAAACCTTATGAATAGTTATTTAGGATTTAAATTATTTTATAAAATAGGAAAAATTATAAATAATAATACAACTTTGGTCGGTTCTTTTTTAATAATACAACCCTTGGATTGTACCTTAATATTACAAACTTTGGGGAGGGGGTGCCATTTCTAAAGGCAAAAAAACTTGTATCTTGTTAAACAGGTTCCCCATGACACGTGCTGGCATGTAATTGGTTTAAATATTTTTTGATATTTTTTTGATAAAATTGTTTAACCTTTAATTAAATTCTAATTTCTTTCAAAAAAAAATTAAATTCTAATTAAGTTTTTAATTATCTTATTTTTAACAAATAAAATATCTTTTACAAAATAACCACCGACAGCCCCCGCCGCACCCTATCGGCAGCCTGCCGGCGATCAGCCTCCCCTGTCGTCGGTCGACCCCAAAAACCCACCCATTCTCGCACCATAAACCAAATCCTCCACCATAAACCCGTTTAACCTAGAGCCCGCTGTCTTGGGTTTTAAGTTTTTTTTGGGTTAAATGGAGATTTGGTGGTTTTAGGTTGGGAATATAGTTTATGGGGCCGGAAAATAGGAGAGGGGTGGTTTTGGGGCTACGGTGGTCGGGTAGGGGTGGATTTGTGGCTGCGGTGGTTCGGAAGGTGAAGGTTGGTTGCGATTTTAATTGGATGGCTGGGGAGAGGCGAGATGGAAGCTATGGTGGTCGGGGAGAGGGGAGATGGGGGCTACGATGGTTGGAGAGGGGAGCTATGTAAGGGGAGTCGGAGAGGTGAGCTGATTAAGGGGGGGGGGGGGGAGGGAATGGTGGCAGATGGTGGCAGGGGTGGTGGGTTTTTTCTTTTTCTTTCTTTTTTTTGTTAAATTTTTATGTTAATCATAATAATAAAAGTAACTTTTATTATTTTATGTATTTTTTAAAAAAATCAAATTAAGTTGACCAAACCAATAAACAATGGCACATGTCATGGATAACCTATTCAACAGGTTATCAACCGATTTTTTCCTATTAAAAATGAAAACCTCCCAAAGGTTATAATATTAAGGAATAACCCAAAGGTTGTATTATTAAAAAAGAATCGGCCAAAGATTGTAATATTATATGTAATTTTAACTAAAAAATAACCTTAAAAAATTTAATCCAAATATTTGACGAATGAGATGATATATACAATGAAAAAAAATTATATTCATTGGAAAAAAAACTGTGTGATTAAGCATGGATGAGATGTAAAAGTAAAATTTTGTCTATTAAAAATAGGGTTATTAGTGAATAACTACCCCTTTTTTTATTTGTTTAGAACTACCCACAAGTTTTGAAACGTTTGAGTAGCACTGTCCAGTAACGTTTTCCATTCAATTAAAACGAAACTAGGGCCCACTTTTTCACTATTCACATCTAATTAACTCCGCCAACTACCTTCTACCCTCCTCTCTCCTCCTTAATTTATTTTCCCATCTAGTTAGGATCCAGCAGCCTTGAAAGATATAGAGGGAAAGCTGATGTTCTTTCTTCCTTTCATTCCAATCAAAATGGCGGGTTGTAAATTGGTAATTATAAGCAAAATTTCACATTTACTACCAGGCAAATCACCCTAACTCACATTTGCTACCCCTTAAATTTTTATTTTATATTACTACTACTAAAAAACACTAACTGTGAAAATAACTACCACTTGAGTAACTCTGTTACTGTTTTTGTTAAGTGGGGTGCACTCCAAAGGATACATCCTTATTCTTCCCATTAAATACGATTTAACATTCTTTGCTTTGCTTGGAATTTGTCTGCTATCATTTGGAAGAAATTAATACACAAATTCATCAAATTGAAACACAAATTCCTTCAAAAAATTAAAAGCGAAATCAGTGAGTGTGGTTAATTAGTGATTGGTGAGTTTTATACCAAAGAATTACGAAGCGATAAAGGTTAGTACTTAGGTTTAATCGAACAATTTAGGTAAGTAATCTACAATTATATTCTCATTTACTTAAGTAATTAGTACATAGGAATGTTGTTTTGTCTAAAACCGAATTGCAGTGGCTTAATTTGTAGTAAATAAAAAATGCAAGAAATTAGGGTTCTTGAGTGTAATTTTCAATTGGGGGTTTTTGGTGGGCTATGATAATTATGAAATTAAAAGTGTTGCTGGGTTATCAAAGTATGTAGTGTTGTAATGATTTCTTAATTTTGTGTATTTATAGGGAATTATGGCTTTGGTTAAGTGTTCACCCTCAAAATACAAGAAATGTGACTGTGGCATTCCCATGGCTAGGCTAACCTCATAGACTAGAGAGAATCTAGTTAGGAAGTTCTTGACATGCAAGTTTTATGATTCCAAAACAGAAACAAGGGGCTGCAAGAGTTTTGAGTGGCTTGATGAAGAAGATGGGGTTGATTGGCAAAGGGAAGTGATCAACCAATTGATCCTTGACAAAAAAACTGATAAAGGGTGAGTTAAGCTCATTGCAAAGAGAAGTTGAGGATCTTAGTGGCCAAAGAAGGTAATTGCTCACTGAGAATGAGAACCTCAAACTGAAGTGCAAAGCTCTTAGTGGTGATAGGAAGAGATACTCTAAGCAAGGGATGCAGAACAATGGTGGGTTTGGCTGTGTTGTTGTGGGTGTTGTCAGTTGTTGTGTTTTGATGATGGTAGGGTTGTAAGTTGTGCTTAAGAAAGCTTAGGTTAATGTAGGTTCTATCTTAGTAGCTTTAGTGTAGTGTAATGTAATTTGGTTTCTAGTGTTATGTTAGTAGGTTAGTCTACTCTAATGAAGTGGACATTTTAAAATTAAAATTGTAAACTCTTTAAGTATTAACGAAAAAAAACTACTTTTATGAGACAATAAACATAATTTTTCTCCATTGCATAGTTAAGTACTGTGTTAGTCACAAAAGGTTGCAGATTGAAAGCATGAAATTCCAATTCTTACAAACAGTAAAATACAAACAGTGTTGCTAATTGACTAATACTAAAGTTTAAGGTTACAAGGCACAGTAACAGAAATTTCAACCAACTTTGTTCTTTCCCTTTGCCTTTGACCTTGTTGCCGGTGCTGTTGTTGAGGCTTGAGTATTTTGGCTGCAAGTAACAGGCTGGGAGCTTTGACCTTGCTGCTTCTGTTGTTCTTGTGTAAATGTCTTGTTCAATACTGGTAGGTCCAACAGTAGCTCCACTTTGTAAACATTCAAAGCACACAAACATAAAAGTTAATTACAGGACACAAACTTCACTATATTAAAACAAAAAGAAACAGGACAGTCTGCTTACATTAGTAGCAGCCCTCTGAGCTTTCTTTCTCCTCTGTTCCTGCAGCCATGGTGTGTTGAGGACAGGCTTGGATGACACCTTTGGCTCAGAGGCTGCTGGGGCTTCAATTTTAGGTGTAGATCCACAACTCTTGGCATAATGACCCAGGATACCACAGTTTCTGCACCTTTTTTGGAACTTTAGGCCCCTTGGTTTCCCCTCTTTGTTGCCTGGTCCTCCTTCTCCCTTTTCTAGCTTTCTCTTTTTTTATTTAGGCCTCCCAAGCATTACCCTAACTGCAGGTGGGAGTGGTTGTCTCAAGTCTATCTTCTCCCAATGCTTAGGGCCTGACATAGGGTTGATTGCATCTTGGTATGCAAGAATATAGGTTGCCCTACTATAGTAAGCATCCACATAGTCATCTGGATCCACCCTTTTGTCAAGTATACAAGCATAAGCATGTACACATGGTATGCCTGTAAGCTGCCAGTGATAACAAGAGCATGAATTCATCTTCAGGTCAACCACCACCTTATACCCATTCAATTCAACTTCATAACTATCCCCCCTAGACAGTTGGACAATGCAATATCTAGCAGCCCTTTCAATCCTCCCAAAAACCTTACTCACATAAGGCATGTTCTTCCCTTCCATTTTTTGAACTGCCTCCCACTTTTTATAGTTCCTCTTCATCATGTAACACCTCATCCACTCCATCTGAGTGAGAATGGGCTTATCTCTTGCATCTTTTATTACAGCATTGAAAGTTTTACAAAGATTGTTCAACAACATGTTGGACTTACACCAATCAGAAAATGCATGTCTTGACCAATGTGATGGTGATATATTTGCTAAATACTCATATTCATATTCTGATAAGAACTTAATGGACTCCATTGCAACCTCAAAGTCAAACTATATCACAAACAAATAGACTATGATAAGAGACCTACTCACGCAAAACAAAGCAAGGCATACACTCTAACACAAAATAGAATTTCAAACTCAAATTCAAACTATATCACAAACAAATAGACTATGATAAGAGGCCTACTCACATTGAACAAAGCAAGGCATACACTCTAACACAACACAGAATACATACAATGACAGAACACAATACATAATGGATGACATAACACATGTGAAGATGTAATAAACTTACCAAAGTGGATGCTCTTGCTGCATTCCAAAACAATTCCTTGAAGGTAGAGCCAGTGAATTAGAGCTTAAAATTAGCCCAAATATGCCTGACACAGAATCTCTTCTTAGGATTTGGGACTAATTCATCAAAGGCTTCAAGCAATCCCTAAATGTGAAAGTCAAAGAAACAAGTCTACTGTTAGAAATACAACTGTGGTTAGAATAAAAAAAATAATAATAAAAACAAAAACAAAAAACAGAACTAAACTGACAGAAAGTCAAACCTTTTGTCTATCACTCATGAATGTCAGTCCCAAGCCTTTACTGCAATCTCCAATGTCCTTCTGCAGACCCTGAATGAACCAGCACCAAGTGTCTTTGTTCTCTACCTCCATTGTTGCCCATGCAAAGGGGAAAATTTGATTATTCCCATCCTTGGCAAATGAAATAATTATTTTCCCAGGATAGGCCCCTTTCAAATGACATCCATCTAGGCCAATGAGAGGCCTACAACCTTTATTAAAACCATTCTTCAATGCAGCCAAGCACATGTACATCCTCATGAATAGAGGGGGCTCTGTTCTGTCTACTCCCTCAACCACCACATACACCCCACTTCCTAGATAGTACTTTATCATAGCCTTGCCATAATCCCAAATTATTGCATATTGCTCTGTTGCGGAGCCATAATTCATGAACTTTTCTCTGGCTCTTTCTAACCAAGCCAGCGAATACCCAATGTGTATTCCTAAATCACTTAGCACCCTAGCTCTGAATGTCTTGATTTTCCAAGTGGGATTGCTCCTCCACTCTTCACCATACCTCTCTGCCAAATATTCAGCTAAAATACATGCATTCATTCTAGATCTCATACACCTGTGCTTGATGAGTGGCATTTATGCCACTCTTTTATCCTTTTTTCTCTAAGGATTCTCCACTCATTTGCACTTGTTTTGTCCTTTTCTAAGCATTTTTACTTAGTTTTGTTTCCTCCTTTCCTTTCTCCTTTATCTTCCTTTTTCTTAGTCTTCTTGTCTTCTCTTTATTTTGATTTCCATGCTTGTGTTTTGTAGGTATCATGTGCCAAAAGAAAGAGGATTTCAAGGAGCCCAGAAAACTGTTCAGCGCGGGATACTGTGCGGCTATTGCGCGGGCGCGCACCCTTAGCTGTGCGGGCGCGCAGCCCAGTCAGAACCTGCGCAGCCAAGCTGATGAAACAGAGCCAAACCAGAGAGTTTGTGTGACCTATTGTACGGCCTCTGTGCGAGCGCGCGACCTGCTGGGCGGGCGTGCTTCATTTCCCCGTACCCTCAAAGTTGCGGCCGCGCAATATGCTGAGAGGGCGCACACTACTACTGCGCGGGCGCGCATATTTTGTATGCGGACGCGCACCGCTGGGTTTCTGATTTCTTTGCGCCTTGTTGCCCAAGTTTCTTTCTTTTGGGGGAGCCACATATATATAGACGGGACTCTTTGTAATGAAAAACACTTAGTTCTAATTCCATAGAATATTAGCCTAATTTAGAGAGAGAAAGTAGATTGTTATTCAAGCATCCCTTATTGTATTCAACTTTGCTCAAGTTTAATCTTAATCAATCAAGCAAGAATCCAAGTTTTCATCTTTCATTAATCCTTTCTTTAGTAATCTCTTCTCCTTTCCTTTATTTTTATTTATTTGTTTTATTGTTGCTTATTCTTGTTAATCTTATTAGTTCATCTAGTTGTTATTGATTTCATTGATTTTAATCATGTTTTGTTTTGAGCTTCTTGAGTTTGTTTCTAGTTTTGATATTATGTTTAATCTCCTTTCTCTAGGCTAAACTCTTAGCTAGGGGAAGGGGGTGGAAAATATGAGTTGATACTGGATGAATGATGATGGTTGGATTGAACTTATGCCATAAATTGATGAAAGACATGATTTTTAATAGCTTGAGATTATTATTGCACTCTATTTGATGTTTTCTAGTTTAAATGCATGAAAGTGATTTGAATTAGATTAAGATCATCTCTATTTTAATGATTGCATGAGAATAAGTTATTAAAGTGGAGTTTTTATGGATTGTGCTTCTTTATTCTCTTGATTTGATTGTGACTAATAGGATGCATGAGAATGATCCTTATTAGTGTAGACCTCTTTCATTGATTTGCCTAGACTATTGCCTGAGAATGAATTGTTTAGGTAGAATCTTGTGTTCTTTGGCATGTGTTTCATGATAATCATCATTATTCCCCTCTTTCTAATCATATTTGACACCCCCCGTATCCCTAGCGTCATTTTCCCTTGGTTTTAATCATCATTTTCTTACCAATTTGTAGTTTTAGTGTTCTTACTCAACAAAAACCAACAAAAAAAAATCCCCTTTTTACTCTTGCATTAGTGATTATTGACGTTGAATTAGTGTGCTTCCCTAGTGGTTCGACCCTTTACCTGCCGCTAACTAGTTTGGTGTAGGTTTATGTATTATAAATGATTAATTTGATTAGGATAGTATCTTAACGACCTATATAACCCGTGATCAGTGCTTTAACCTCATATCCTTTATTTACCAAGCACTGCTATTATAAATTAAAGTCTCCTTGCAGACACCTTAAACTCACACTTCTTCACTTCATCACCACACTTGCATTGAGGCAAGTTGTTACTCTTAGAATTCCACTCACATTGCATCTCTTTCTACAGAAAACGGTAATCCTCTTACCACCATTGTGCAGGCAATAAAATTCATACATGTTCTCTATAGCATGGGTCCTCAATGCTCTTCTAAGCACAATACTGCTGGTAAATTCTGCCTATCTAAAAGAACAACTGGCTTTTTAAAGTCAGTGTCTTCCCTGAACCATGGGCTTGAGTCTTATTCTTTATCTGACCCATTAAGACTCCTAAGTTCATCTGAGTCACTTCCCTCCACCTGCAGCTGAAGATTTGTGCAACCAATGTCATTTCCAAGCTTCTTTACCTTCTGCTCAACAACTTTCTTAGAATTGTCACCAGCATCAGCAATCTGCAAACTCTTCTCCACCTCACCTAATATACCCCTTCTTGTCTGGATATGCCATTGTTCCTCTTCCTCATCACTAGCTGCCAAATCTTCTTCACCTACCTTCCACTCAATATCTAAGTCACTCAGCTCTGTAGAAGATGATCCAGATTCTGATCCAGAATCATCATCCTTGAACAGCCTCTTTGAACACTTTCTCACAGACTTCCTCTTCTCTTTGACCTCTCCCTGTCCATTTTGGTCACCAGCTACACCCTTTCCCTTCTCTTTAACACCACTCACACTCTCTACCTTCTCCCTGACAGCACTCTCAGCCTCCCCCTTTCCAGAATCTTTAGAAAATCTAGGGATTCTCCTACACACAGACTGAATGGGTTTCCTAGGCTTTATTTTTGTTCTAGGTAAAGATGCCGAAGGTGACTTACTATTAGTTGTAGCTGGGTTACTTTCAGTTGTAGGTGGCTTACTCTCAACATGCTGAACATTCCTTGGGCTCCTCCTACCCACATGGGATTTCTTTGGTTTTAGGGTGTTTCAAGATGCAGTATTAGCTTTTGTTTTAGTAAGTTGATAAGTTTGAGATGGTATGGGCTGAGATGGGTGTGAATTTGAAGGTTCAAATCCATTACAATTTGGTTTTGGGTTATTTTGGATTAGAATTGGGTGGTTGAGATCCAGATGCAGAAGGGTTGGGTGTGGGTGGGTTATCTAAAATAACCTCAGCAGGGTGATACCTGTCCCACTCTTGCAGCCCCACAGTTTTAAACAGCTCCACATGTCCTTCACTATGTTTGGACTCTAAGAAGCCCCTAACATCATCATCATTATCAATCCTCCTCTTCCTAGTTTCCCAAGTCTTTCCCCTCTCCTTATACCAAAAACTATAAATCTCTAGAGCCTCACTAAAACCTAAAGCTATTAACCCTTCATTACACAGAAACCTTAAGTACATCACACTCCTCACATATGACATTGGAACAACATACTTCCAATGAACAAACCCACCTTCATAAACCAAATACTTCTTCCCCCTGCGCTCCTTCTCCACAAACCCTCCAAATAGCCTAAGCTTAATGTCAATAGTATCATCCTCACCATCCATATTTTTCTACAATTAAATCAAGTAAACCATACATAAATCAATTTTAAATTCAACCATCACAGAGCACAAACTGACAATGTAAACAAACACATCATAAAACATGATTGTATACCCACACATGTTTAAGTAATTACACAATTAATTAATAAGTTAATTACCTAAGCGCGAAAATCTAGGGTTTACTTAAACAACAATTTTGTCTAAATTTCCCACAGTAACAGTATTTTATTGCAAATTGACCAACATTGATGCTTTGTTGGACCACTACAAGTACGAAAAAGGGTTGTTATCTGTCAATTGTTGTCGGCAGATTCTTCAAGCTTCCACTTCAACAAGGAAGATGACGATGCTCCCAGATGGACCTACCCCTTCAATCAAATTCGTACACGCAGTCAAACCCTAGATCTTAAGATAAGATGCGTAAAAAAAAGGGCAAAAAAAAACTTAAACTTGGTCAATTATGGAGGTTCAGTAAAATTTATGGGAGAAGAGAGATAAAGGGAGAAGATAGTTACGGGGAGAAAGAGGGAGTTAGATGAAGTTAGTTAATGGTGTGGGCTCCACTAACGATTCTTTAACAAAATCTGTGAAGTGGTAGTTATTGTAATATAAAATAAAAAATTTAAGGGGTAGCAAATGTGAGTTAGGTTGCTTTGACTGGTAGTAAATGTATTCTAGATCTTGGGGCAACATTCCACTTTTGGAACCGCAGACCAAGTTCCTCTAGAACTTGCTATCATCTTCGCAATCCAAGCTTCATTCTTTAACATGTTGTCATGCTTCTATTAGGAAGATCATTGTGTGTACATGTTAGGGAACACCTCATATACCTGTTAAGGATCAAAAACATGACATTAATTAGTATTATTACATTCGATCCCGTATCTCGTAGTTGTTATTATTCCCATGGTAATGTTACAATGATACATTCTTAATGGTATTTGTACAAAGAATGGACTCATTTAACTACGAAAATTCGAGTAGCGCAAGCTACCATACAACTAAGTCGTCACAATTGGTTTCCTCTTCTTGTTGAACATTGCATATCCTTTCACCCGCCTGTCAACCAGTACATATAATATGAGTACAACTAGGGATGACAATGGATTCATATCCGACCCGGATTCGTGGATCCATATCCATTTTCACGGATATGGATCTTATAAAATTGGACCCGACGGATCCGGGTCGGATACGAATCCTATCCTATAAAAACGGATCTGGTTACAGGTCTGACTCAAATACCCATATCCGGATTTGTTTACCCGTTTTTTTAAAGCTAAATTTATTTTTAAAATACAAGCCCATCCCACACCCTACATGAGGTTATGTCTTTCTGACTCTTAACTCTACCAAACCCCCAGACCCTAAAATCTCACACACCTCTCTAACTCTCTCCCCTCTTTCTTTGTCTCTCCCAAATGGCTCCACCGCAACAACTCCACCGTAGCAACTCCGCAAGTGACTCCAACATCCCTCTCCGGTGACCTGAGTCCAACACTCCGACCCATCCTCTCCGACGATCGCAAGTCCGCAAGTAACTTACAGTGCGATGATTTGTGGTATGTATTTTTATTAATCCTTAAATTATATACTTTATGTTTGTTTTATTAAAGCTATTTTTGTCATGATTTTAATTAATTTGTTAGTATATTATCTTAATGAGTGAATTTATATGGTTGTTGCTCACTGTTCATTTTTTTCAGTAATTGCATGTTTTGGATTTTGGATGCTCACTGTTTGATTTTTCATTTTTTTAGCCCTCTTGGTAGTTGGCCCAAAGGCTTCTTGAGAGATGGATTTTGGATGCTCATCATATTTCACAAATTGTTGTACTTGTTTGTATTGTATTAATGGATTATTGAGATTTGTATAAGTTGTCTTGTATTATTAGAGTTTGAAAGTTAAACCATTGTTTTAATTGAAAACTAAATTTTTTGCTTAAAAAATAGGTACAATGTGGCAAGATCCGTTTTGGATCCATTTTGGAGCCGTATCCGTAGGATCCAACATATATGGATATGGATCTCTTTTCCATACCCGACGGATCCAGTGTGCAAAAACGCATCTGGATCTGGATCCAATCGGATCCGGTACATATCCGACCCGTTGTCATCCTTAAGTACAACACAAACACACAGTAATATAAACAAATTCATATCAGTAGAACATGAATCCTTATTACTATTAATTATGCTAACCTCCATATAAAGGACTGATTCCGTAGGTAGCGGATTCCGGACAAAATAGGGATTTGTTGCACATCTAATCCTCCTTGCCTTAGGAATGGGATCTTCTCGTTAGGCTGTACATTCAAAAACAGTAACAGTCACATGTATTCCTGGCTACTCTTACTTCTGAATTGAGTATAAGAGTATTTTATTGCAAACTTGAATCAAACTCGGACCAATGCTATTCCAAGCCTCCTTGGGATGACTCTCTCCATATGCAACATCAATCATTTGAAATTTGTTCACCTTTGTTAAGAAAGAGCATACTTACGTAAAAAAACCAATAACAACATCGTCCAGTACTAGATTCACCCCCATTTTACCAAAGTCACCATCAACGGAGTGACGATCAAGCCTTACAACTAAGCCAATTTCCTGCATATTCCAGACTTTAATCCTAGGAAAAACACCCCATCGTAGCGGCACCATATTGTGTCTGTCCAAGTACATAACCTGTTCACATCTTAAGACAACTAATACACAATACAAATCAAACAATATGACAAATTATGCTATTGAATATCTTACCACAATAAATAACAAACAACTTCCAGTTCCTCGAGCATAACCATTAGCATTAAAATTACGCGCAAAGGATGATACAATACCTAATAACTTCGAAACCACCAACCCACATCAATCATAATCCATGCAATCTTGTGCACATGTTAGTGCAGGAACAAGATCGGCTGAAAGTCTAGGTGATTGGGTTGGACATAATACCATGTCGAGGGACATCAATAGAAATAGTGTCTTGAATTCAACTTCCTCACCCTCCGTCCACTCACCCTCTAGACTTTCCATAATCCAAGAATTCACAGATATTCCCTTGCTAGTATAAACCTTACCCTCATAACCATTACACCTAGTTTCCCACAACTGCCCATACTTACTCAATATTGCTTCAACCTTGTCTTTTAATTTTGATGTCATATTCTTCTTTGTATGGACTGCCTTCCCACCATTATCAATTCCCAACACCCAATACACTTGATTAGGAGACAAACTAAACTCCTTATCATCTGGAGATATAAGAATTTTATTAAAAGGATCAACACGAGTCAACACCCAATATGCATGTCTGACAAGGCAAGATGCATTAAAACACCAAATCTCATTTCATTTACCCACCTCCAACGTCTTCCATCAAACTTTTGACAAATTATACCAAATGACTCTATATGGCATGTCAAGTTGGGTGCATGTACATCATCAAATGGGTGGTATATTACAGCCCCAATGACCAAAAAAAGATATGGTGCATACGTTAATAGAGTAGCAAACAAACCTTAGAGCTACCACGAGCAAAATATTTCAAAACTTCCCCCCTGCCTTTTAATGCCCCTTTAACAGTAAGGAAGTTCTCCTATGAACAAGTCGAAGGTGACTATAATTCACTACAAGTAGACAACGTAAGCAGAAGACCAATCTATTAAAGCACAGGTAACCTTAAACATCTCTGGATGTAGTGATCCAAGCTTCCCACACCTCACACTGCCAGCCTTTTCACACACAATTAGATTTAAAGTATACTATCATTTCCAACTATAACATATTTACTGAGTGCATATATACAAAACCTGATGAATATGCCTTTTCCGTTTGGTAAACCGACCAAGTTCCTAGAACATCAGGCAGTGGCGTCACCAGGATTTTCGAACTGTGGGTTCGAAACTTCCGAAATTTGAAATCATAATTAACAAAGGAATAAAAATACAATAATTAAATATTCAGTACATAAATAAGTTCAAACTATGGATTACAAATAGATTACACATAGAAAAATGAAAAGAAAAAAAAAAAAAGACTACAGAAGCATTCTTCGAGTCTTCATACTTTGGAAGCGTTCCAATACATCATCATCACTAACTCTTGAAAATAAATCTCTTTCAAGAAAAGTGACTAAATTATCATTCAATAGTTGATCACCCATACTATTTCGCAACTTATTTTTTACGTATGTCATTGAGGAAAACACTCGTTCCACGCTTGCTGTTGCAACCGGAAGGATCAATGCTAGTCTTATAAGCAAGTAAACTAAGTTGTAAGTAGTATGCTTATTTGTTTCAACAAGCATCATAGAAAGCTCATGAATACCCTTCAAGTCTCCAAACCTTGCATCTTGGCGCACATCATTAATATAAAATTGAAGCTCATGACGAAGTGCAGTCATCGTCATATCATTAGTTGGAAACTCTTTGGGATATAACTCAGCAAGTCTCAACAACTTTTGCATATCAAATGCCGCAAATGAATTGATCGGGTTTAAGCATGACACACAAATAAGTAACTCCATATTTTCTTCACCAAATCTACTATTGAGCTCTTGGAGTTGTAAATCAATAACACTTATAAACATTTCTACCCGAAATCGATGAAGATTTGAAACTTTGGCAAAGAAGCGTCTTGACCTTCCACGAGGAACATACATATCATCCATAGTAGAAACTTCTACATCATGTTTAACACAAAAACAAACCACAAGATGTAAAAAGTCTACCCACCCATGGTCCCTCATTTGTATACAGGGGCGTAATAGGTATATCGTATATCCGTATACAGGGGCGTTGCAACTAGTCTGCTGCACACAGCACACACATGATAAATGCAGAAGGAAATCAATGAATGAACGAAATAGCATATGAAATTATGAAAACTAGAAGGCAGAATAGCCGGGCTAATGCTGTGACTTCTCCTGGCTCTTATAGAAGTGTACTTATACCTCTATAGCTCTACCTTATGTAGAGGAGTTGTATTATCACGTTTAATTCTTAGTCGGTACAAGACTAATTATAATCATCTAAATAAAATCATACCAATCCAAGCAATAACATCAACCACTCTAGCTAATTAGAAGGTAGAAATTAGATTGTTTATTATTCTTGATCAACAAATAGTTAGAATGTTTACGATAAGATATTGAGCAAGGTGAGGCCATATGTTGAAACTTTTCAAGAGAATGTTTTTATGCTACGAGGTAATTAACAAAGTCTAGCCCATTCAACATTCTTACAACTTTTCAGAGGTAATTAACAAAGTCAAGCCAATTTAACACTCTTACAATTTTTCAAGAGAATATTTATACTTGAAATATAAGATAATTATAACCAAATTTCAGCAATTTACAAAAAATTCTGCAATTTGTAATGTATATTAGCAATTTAGCATATGAATTTCAAGTATTAGCATAATAGCATATGTATATGTATATTAGCAATTTAGCATATGAATTTCAATTTTCAAGTATTAGCATATGTATATGTATATTACTATATTAGCAATTTAGCATATGTATATTAGCAAAAAATCCCCAAATTCACTTACCCCTACATACGGTGGGTCTGCTCCGCCACGGCGCCACTCAGGGGCGGAGCTACGGTGGTCAGCTGAGTGGCTGACTAGTGACTACTGGCCTACTGCCGACCTGCCGTGCTGCGGTGCTGGCTGAGTGCCTGAGTGGCTGCTGCGGACTTCTGCGGTGCTGCGCCCGTGCGCCGGGAAGAGAAGGAGCCAAGGAGGAAGAACGGGAAGAGAAGGAGCCAAGGAGGAAGAACGGGAAGAGATTAAGAGAAGGAGGAAGAAGTTAGGGTTTTGCAATTTGGGGGAATGAGGAAGAGGAAAGCTGGAAGCAGGGGATTAGGGGAAGCAGGATGAAAGGAAACAAAATGAAAAAATAAAAGTGTGAGTTATGGGTTTCGAACCCTGAACCCACAAACTCTTGTATCATTGTATGATGAGAGGTAAAAATAACCACTGGGCTACAACTTTACTTGTTGCCATATAATACACAAATATTCTATTTAAACCTATTTTGATTTTTTTTTTTTTAAAAAAAAAAAGTTTTTAATTTTTTTCAAAAAATCAGTGGGTTCAATGAACCCACTTGAACCCACCGTGGCTCCGCCCTTGACATCAGGTAAACATTGATAAGTAAATCAATTAACTGATTAATTTAGCTAATTCAAAATCAAAAAAGGAATAGAGATAGATATATACCAACTCAAGATCAACACAGGAACAATCTTCTTTTAAATGTGTGATTTCCATTGTTATAATTTAGGAGAGACAACAAAACATATACCTACGTATTTTCGTAAAATAAATATATCACCTTCCACTCCTCTAATCCGGCCATTTAACATTCCAATATTAGCATAGAACAACTCATTCCCCACTACCATTACACAAATCAAAAATTAACAAATTCTTAAGACAATAAGAACACCAAACTAACAATTTAGCTGATATTCGCATGAAATAAACACAATAACGAGTTCTGATAATTAATTTAAAGCGCGACAGAATGACACTGATATTGCAAACAATTGATTCAATGAGCGACAACTAATGACATTTATTCGGATACCCTAACTAGAAGTCCCGATGTTGCAAACAGTTAATTCAATCAAATAATAACATTAATTTGAAAACCCTCACTAGAACTCCCGATATTGCAAGCAAATTGATTCAATCAAATAATAACATTAATTAGGAAACCCTAACTAGAAGTCCCGATATTGCAAACAATTGATTCAATCAAATAATAGCATTAATTATGAAATCCTAACTAGATTTCCCAATCACAATCAAATGACATTTAAATAGAAACTTAACATTAAAAATCATACTAGAAATGAGCTGCAATAAGCTATTAGAAATCTCCAATTTGCTCCAATGGTGGATTACCTAG